AACTATGTTGGACAAAAAGAATATAAACGTTGAATGTCATTTGTATAGAGAAGTTTAGCCTGACTCCAAATATCAACACAAGAGCGGTAAGATTTGTAAATAGGGTAAAGGGAGGGATCAATAGTTTGCCATAACATACTACACAACAGAGCATCAATTTTAGTCCAGGAAGACTTATCTGATGTAATATCGGCAGCCTTGGTGGTCAAGTGATCCTCTAGACCTTGACCCATACACCATAATTCGACAGAGGCAGCCAGGGATGAATAATTAGCAGTCCCAATTAATTTCTTAATGGTGATGGAAGGGAGAGATAAAAAAGAAAAACCACTTGGATGTGACTGAGAGGCAATTTAGGGGGATCCATGAAGAAGATTGGAGTGTTTTGAAGCTGACAGAAACGACGATGAGGAGACGATCAGTCTGGTATGATTAGAACAGATCCTGATCGTTGCTAGAGAGCAGTCGCCAGGAAAAAAAAAACCAAGAAAGAGAGGAAAAAAAATTGGAACTTCAGAGATCTGGCTCTGATACCATGTGAAGAAATACTTTGTTTTTATTACATATTTCACAATGAAATGTACAATGAATTTATAGCAAAAAACAAAAACTAATCTAGGAAGTAAATTGTTACATTCCTATTATAACTGATATAATTCTTAATAGCTTTGATCCTAACCTAATATAGAAGATAGTCTTTAATGAGAATAATCTTATTTCCTATTTTACAATGAGAATAATCTTATTTCCTATTTTACAATGAGAATAATCCTATTTCCTATTTTACACTTCAACATATATAAACAAAATATTACATATTTCATGTTTATCTCGTAACAACATTTCAAAACAACTTATTTGAATCTGATTAATCTATTTTATTACCTTTATTTTTTATTTTTTTGTGTTTGAGAATGTTCGGGCCAACTTATGCACACCTCAACTAATCTTCCGAGACCTTAGAACTATCAACCAAGTTAGAGTTCCAATGGCTACCCCTATTAGCAACTGAGGAGGGATTCGAATTCAAGACCTCTTGAGTAATACACTCAAGAGTCTTTATTGAACCACTCGACCACCCAAAGATAGTTGAAACCACTCGACCACCCAAAGATAGTTTGCTTTAAAACTAAGAACGAGTGCAATGGCCAACTAATGGAATAATTCTACTTATAGCTAAAGGTACCTCATCTATCTTCTAAATTAGTCTATAATTGATCTAAAGTTTAGGGCCTAACAAATATGTATTGATTATGTTAACTAAAGTAGAAAGGGCTAAATAATAACAACTCAAAATGAGTAAAATAGAGAAAGTGATAAATGCACTTGATGATTTTTTAATGCAGAAGATATAATTATAAAGTACAATTGATTTTATTTCAATTTACTTAACTATTAGCCATCAAATGTTTGAATGACTACCCAAAATTTTCATAAATTTTCTAGACTTCCATTGAGGAATAATCGGTTTATCTTGAAGTGGAAATTACCCAAAACTTATTGGGTTCCTTTTTGTGATTATGGGACGATTGGACCATTGTAGACTTGAGTTCAACAAAAGATTTCTCAAAAAGCCGAATCCCCAGATCCACGTTTTTCACAGTCATGGACTCCTTTTGCTTTTTGTCCTATTTTATTTGCCCTTTCCTCTTCTACTAAGTTTTGTCTCATAAACTACAATGGTCTGTTATCAACTCATAATTTAATTTTACAAAAAACTACAATGGTCTGTTATCAACTCATAATTTAATTTTACAAACAATTCCTTTTGAGATGTTAATATAACAATTTTTAAAGAATAGTAATGTTATCAACTTATTAGAAAGTGATACCTTATTGCATTATTAGGTTTATCAAATTAGTCTTTGCATCAACAAACTTTATTGAAAACTTTATACTACAAAAGTAATGAAGATAATAACATCACCGACACTCTTGAGCTACAAACTTGTGATCAATATAATTCCATATTGACCAAAAATTTTGTAGCCATATAAAATTATGGAATGTCTATAATATCCTCCAAAACCTTAAAGTTAACGATTGCATAAACCTCCAATGGTCGTCCTGTTAACAGTCCTCTTGAGTAATACATTTAAGAGTCCTCAGTCATCTACTGATAGTTTTTTTTTTTTTAAATCGGGAGTGTCTTGAACTAACTTGCGTGCACCTCAACTAATCCCTGAAGTTATAAATCAATCTTTATCACTACTTTATATAGTTTTAACAAATTGAAATTGATTTATATAATTAAACAAAAAACTAATCATGACTTATAAGAATTCTATTGAAATTTGTATAAACATGATTGATAATTGTCACCTAAAATTTGAAAAATTTAATAAATAAAAGACAAATCGTCGGTGGATTAAGGACAAGCTGCAAGTTACACTGAATACCTTCAATAATACAACAATCCCATCCATTAGAAAATTGAAAATATCAAATGCCACGTTTCTGTTGTTAACTTTAATGCCAAATTGACATCAATATAAAGCGACCCTTTACCTTCTATAAGACTATTTCATATTCCCCTCAGATTATTTTTTTAAATCCTCTTTTGTACATATTATATGATCAAAATGGTTGTTGAAATTATTATAATTAAATAATTAGATATATAATCTCATATATTTTTTTTGAGATTTTATTAGCATGCGCATTAAATCTAATAGGTTTGATATTTTTATTCACGACTTTTCTAATAAAGGAATGTAATTTCTAACATTCCTTTTTAGTATTAGTATTATTTAAATGAAATAATTATAATTAAATAATTATATTATTGAATGACATTCTTCGTCGTTCAAAATAGAAGTATCAAATAATTTTATCTCAACATCTAATCAAGACCTGAATATCTTAAATATCTATAAAAGAATTATCACTATAACCTAATTATGAAATAGTGATGATGAGGAAATCGAAGATCGTTAACTCTAGTAAATGAGATGTGTTTTTATGATATTTAATTATTTAATGGATAGTTCATAAATTTCGTAAATGTCTCGGATCCGAATCACATAAATCAATCGCTCTAATATCATTATTGAAGATCCGAAAATTTTAATATTATACTTTTTATATTTTAAACAGATTAAATCGTTGATGTACCAGCAGCACAGCCTGCCATTATCAGAATTGAATTAATGAGAGTCAGGATTTATTGAAAATTATTATTATTATGATGAATAAATAAATAAAAATAATTAATATTAATTGTGAAAGAAAGAGGCAAGAAGGGTCCCAATCTAAGATACGTTTGGTCCAAAAATTAAAATAAAAAAGACAGGCCACCCGAAAAAGAGGCATCTTTTGACCCACTTGTTCAATTTTAATTTTTGCAATTAAATTAGACTATGCTCATCTGACACATTTCAATTCACAAATATCTCTGACATTCCTCTTGATTTTTTCTTCACATATCTTTGCATCTATTCTATTTCCCACTGAATTGGGTTAAGGTTTTTGGTTTCTTGCTGGGATTGTAACGTTTGCCCATTATAGTTAGTTAACGTTGATTATATGGATTAATCAAAACAATCACGGACCGATTTAATGGTAAAAGAGTAAAAGATAATTTAACATGATCGAGTTCTCACAATTACTAATAAGAGTGATTACTATAACTCTTATATAATTAGTAATTTTAGGATTCTGAAAAATCAATTAAAATATGCTGAAACTGATGTAAATACTTCTTATCATTAAAAAAAAAAAAAAAGAAAAAAGAGTTTGTCACCTGGCTATAATAAGTATAGGAAAAGCCTTTTGTGGAAGTATAAAATATTACTGATCAACCACTGTTATTTAATTAAGATTCTTCTAAACCTGATTACGCAGTTGGATTACATAAATAATATCTTTTATTTTCGATTATAAAATTGAAACACTCTGTGTAAGCTTTAGTTGCAGGATTCATTTCATAGAGATGACACCAACAAAACCAATTAATTAAAATCGATTCTGGTTTGATTAACTTGATTAATTAATTATAACACGTTCTACTGCGTTAGTTAAAATGAAATTGTCTTGGCAGACTATATATATATAGATATATATATCGTGCTGCAAACTGATAAAAAATTTATAATTAAAATATTAATTTTCTGTTGGGATATCAACGTTTGACCTAATTGAGATTAGTTATTTGAATCAATAATTAATTAATGTAATTCTAAATCTACAAGGTAGAGTAAATTAAGAAGGATTAGTTAGCTACTAGATTGGATTTGGGGTAGAAACGTAGAAATTAATACAGAAGTTTGTTCGTTAAATAAATAAAAAAAATATTAGTTATTTAATTATAAGAAGGATAATTTTTTTTTTTTTTTATGGGGTTTAATAAATATAATTGAAACGAGGTAAATTTAATTAACAAGGCCAAACTTTCGGTAGTACAAAATTAATAAATTGCATGCTGCCACTGCCGACACCTGGAGGAGCAATAAAAACAAAAGAATATACCTTATAAATTATTTATTATTTATTTAGCTGTANGATATATCTCTTAGTAATGGGTGGTCTATCAGTTGGCCACTGGATGTTAATTTAGGTCGGTATATGAAGCTGTTTTATTGTGCGAAATTGATTATTATTTTTCAACTAAAGACAAATATTGATTAAATGTTTCAAAAAATAGTTTTAATGACAACTGTTCTTGAACCTGTTTTGGAGAACAAATAACTTTGGGAGATTACACTATGAGATGTAAGCCAGATTGCTTCCTTGCTACAATATAGTCCATTTATATGGGTTGGGTTAAAATGCTCAATTCCAGCTGTTGAAAATTTTTTAATACTTTCATCTACCTGAACATTTATCTGCTCCGAATGTCATTTAATTTTATTTTCAGAAGCATCATGTATTAGGGATAAACAAACCACTGTCAGAGATTCCTTCAAAGACTAAAGTCTTATTTTTGCTACTTGTATTCATGTCAATTGCCAACTTACTGTCATATCATTGAACTTAAATTTGCTTCCAAAAATGAGGATGATATGATAAAAGTGCATGGTACCATTTATATGTTTGAACTGTTAAAGCAGCGCTTCAAGTTTACTAGGAAGGCAGTTCAATTCTTCATGGTTACTGTAAATTGAAAATTAGACTTTTGTGAACATGGAGCCCATCTTGAACATGAGTCAGTATTGAAAACAGTACTTTATGATTTATCATAAAATTTAGAATTGCTTGCATGGTACAATTTTATCTTTTTTAATTTATTTGATTATATTCATGTTCAAATTTTGTTTTCTTTTAATCTGAAATTTATAAGATTTTGTTGTTTTAATCTTAAATATTTTGTCCAGATTCCATTTGCTGATGATTCTTTGCACTTGTCAAATTGGAATCTCTGTTCAAATTTGGATTTGGCATATGATCCAGATGTCTGGTTATTTGACCAAAGTGCTCCTGAGCCACTTCGTGGTCGGCAATGTGAGCTGCCTGTACAGAACAAACTTATACTGGGAGATGTGGAATCTAGTTGTGAAAGTGAAACGCATAGAGAACGTAATATCAATAATGCTTTTTCTGTGAAACAAAAGTTACTGAATGGAGAAGGTGGCTTGGAAAAAGTTGACAGCTTCTCACGGTGGGTAAATAAAGAACTTGCTGAGGTAGAAGATTTGAATATGCAATCCTCCTCTGGTATTCCATGGAGCACTGTTGGATGTGAAAATGTTGTTGAGGATTCTTCACTGAGCCCCTCCCTCTCCCAGGATCAGCTCTTCAGCATAACTGATTTTTCACCTAAATGGTCCTACACAGATTCAGAAATTGAGGTATTGAATTATCTTTTATTTCTAGAACTGATTTGTCAACAAGTAATCTATATGCTATGAAGCAGACAATTGGTTTTTGCATTTAAATAGTGCGTCCCTTTGATTTTTTTAAGCTGCATTGTCAATTTTATAGTCCAAATAAGTAATTTGTAGATTGTAGATTTTATCCCTAAGTTGCATTGCACATTCGAATAATTTGTATAATTGGAGGATTTTTTTTGTCCAACTTTTTTCTGACATTAGTTTTCTTTCTTTTTTTCTTTTTTAATAAATTATGGGTTGATTTTATTTCCCCTCTGAGAAATAGCTAAGTCTTAAGTGACTCAATTTTGGGAAAGTATTAGATACCTACCTAAAATTACCAAAAGCCCCTGGCAAATACCATAAAATTCCTAGTAAATAAAAAAAGCCCCCAAAAATATAAAAAAAGCCCCTATAAATATATATAAAAAAAACCTTTTGGGAGGTGGTTGATACTTTGTGAAAATAACCATGGCGCTTGAGACTTGGCTATCTCTCAGGGGGTGAATGAAATAAATCCTTAATTACGTTTATATTTCTTCAGAAGTTTCTGAATGTGTTCCTTTCTTCCTTATTATGTGTTATTAGCTTGATTTTGTGGCAACTTTAGGATATAATACACACTATAACTACTTCTGAAAGTTTTTTATATTCTTAACTTCTTTCTATGTATATTATAGATTGAAACAGGTACCAATTTAATGTGGAAAAAGGGGAAACTTTTCTATTTCTTACTTTGTTGTGTTTAAACCATGTAACAGGTTCTGGTTATTGGAACATTTATGAAGAATCACAAAGAGGTAGCAAAATGTAACTGGTCATGTATGTTTGGGGAAGTTGAGGTTCCTGCAGAGATTTTGGCTGATGGGGTTCTTTGTTGTCGTGTGCCACCTCACACAGTTGGACAAGTTCCTTTTTATGTGACATGTTCCAACCGGCAAGCATGTAGTGAAGTGCGAGAATTTGAGTATATAACGGGCTCTGTTAAAGATGTAGTTATTTCGGATGTATATGGTTGTGCCTCAAATGAAATGATTCTTTATTTGCGTCTTGAGAAGCTCCTATCTACGGGGTCATTGAGTCTTCCAAATTATCTCTCTGAAAAATCTCGTGAGAAACAGAATTTAATTGGTAAAATCATTTTACTGAAAGAGGAAGAGGAACAGATGGTGGAGCCAACCACTAAGAACTTGTCCCAACATGGAGTGAAGGAGCAGATCCTTCAGAAACAGATGAAAGAGAAGTTGTATTCGTGGCTCCTTCGTAAAGTAATTGAAGATGGTAAAGGGCCTAGTATTTTAGATGATGAGGGGCAAGGTGTATTACATTTAGCATCTGCTCTTGGTTATGACTGGGCCGTAAAGCCAACTATAACTGCAGGAGTTAGTATCAATTTCCGGGATGTGAATGGGTGGACTTCCCTTCATTGGGCGGCATTTTGTGGCAGGCAAGTACCTCTGAGTTTTGATTTTTTAAATTTCTTTTAAATGTGGACTCCATTCTGTATGCAGTTAAAACAACTTATTTATATTTGGCTTAGACTTATAACTTTCTATCCTGACATGGAAATTGAACATAAGAATCTGATAAGGCAATAGTACATATTGAGGGAGAATCTAGATTTAAGTTTTCTAATTATTTTAGGAGTTTAAATAATTTATTACTTGTTCTGGTTAGATTTAATTTTCTTGTTAGGGTTTCTTATTTTAGTAGATTATATTAGTTATTGGAAGTAGACTCTTATTTCCTAATTTGTTTAGGAATGACCACTACATAGATAATAGGACTTTGGTTTTTAGATTTATGTCACTTCATTGATCATTAGAATAATGACTATTGTTTTCTGCCCTGCTATGTGTTTCAGTTCCATATTCCTCTTGTTATCCCCCTTTTCTTGTCCTTGCCTACATCACTATGTACTAGAAATCAGAGAAGCCATCTAATAGTTTTTTGTCGCATGCTGGATATTACAAAATGCATATCCTCCTACTCTTCCCCTTCTCTACTCCTCTGTTTGTCTCTCTTCCCTTCCAAAATATAGTAGCATACACACTTCGAGAACGCTTTCATACTAAAGTTCTCTCCCATGCTATCTAGCATATGCCCTAAGTTACCTTTTAAATCCAACACTTTGTTCTCAAAGCTGCACGTTGCTTTCATCATACTATACAGATTAATTATTTACAAATTATAAGAAGCTGGTTTTGAAACATCTTAAGGTTTAATGGCGTTTTCTGCTCGGCTTTTTGTTGAATTTCTTTGAATAAGTACTACTAACTCAAACTATTACAGGCTCCCTCACCACTGTGAGACGTTTTTAAATGTTAAGAAACCTAATGTTTTTTAGAAAATTTCTGAAAACATTGAGTTTTTTAACATTCGCAAATCTCTCGTGGGGCAATTTATATTTGCTGTTCAACTAAGCTAGAAATCTTATGTTATTAAGTGGTTGACTTTTGGTTAAATCTTTGTAACATTCAGAGAGCAGACAGTTGCTATACTTGTGTCTCTGGGCGCAGCTTCGGGAGCATTGACCGATCCCTCCCCAGAATTTCCTTTGTGTAGAACTCCTGCAGACCTGGCTTCTGCCAATGGACACAAAGGAATTTCTGGCTTTCTAGCAGAGTCTTCCTTGACCAGCCACCTCTCATCCCTTACAGTGAATGATTCAGCAGAAGATAGTGCCTCAGAAGATTCAAGGGCTCGAGCTGTGCAAATTGTTTCAGAGCGAACACCTACTCCAGTGAATGATGGTGATATATCAGATGTACTATCACTGAAGGATTCACTAACTGCAGTCTGTAATGCTACACAGGCTGCTGATCGTATACATCAAGTCTTCAGGATGCAGTCATTCCAGCGGAAACAGTTAAATGAGTTTGGTGATGACTTTGGTATATCAGATGAGCATTCTCTTTCGCTTGTAACAGCCAAGACACTCAAACCTGTACAAGGTGGACAAGCTCATGCTGCTGCCATACAGATTCAGAAGAAGTATCGTGGTTGGAAGAAGAGAAAAGAGTTCTTGTTGATTCGCCAAAGAATTGTTAAAATCCAGGTTTAGTTATCAGTTTCTCATGGGCTTTCTCTTATCTTTTATATTTTAATTTTTCCCCCAGAAATTAGTTATTTTTTTCCCCCTGTTGTGTTGGCTGTTTCCCGTTTGATTTTGCATGACAATTTATCCTGTCTCCAATGAATTTTAAGTTAGTGAAAAAGTGTGATTGAAGGGATGTTTGTGGAATGGAATTGTCTGCATCCTTTCAAGTTTAGATAATCATGGAGTCATCCTTAAGTTGTTACTACAATTGAGAGCATGGTTTAGGAGTTGAGTCAGGTTCTTTGGGCTATTTGACTGTTTGCTCTTCAAGTGTTCCCCTAGCAATGATTTTTTTTTTATTTTTGGTTTACTAGTCTGCTTAAATTTCTTGCACTATATGTTTTATTTATTAATAAAAAGAAAAGAAGCAAGATGGAGTTCTCTGTTCAATATTGACAATTTTCTTAAGGTATGTTGGTTTGCAGTTCGAAAATAATCTTCAAAATGTTAGGGTACAGTTGGAGTTTTCTTGTACTATTTAAGTTACTATCTGATTAGAAACAACAAAAAGGACACCTTTATTCGGAATTTAAACTTGTTCTTAGGATTGTATCAAAAACCATTCTTGAAATTCATGGATTTTTTTGCTTAAGAAGTTTATCTGGATTGTGCAACAAATCGGCCCTTGAGATTTTTTTTTCTTTTTTTCTAATTTTCTGCAGCTCTTAATATGTACATTTATGCATAATCATGAACATAAATTCTGACTTTTAACTTATCATGTGAAGGCACATGTGAGGGGACACCAGGTAAGGAAACAATATAAATCAATTACCTGGTCAGTTGGAATTCTGGAGAAGGTCATTTTGCGATGGAGACGTAAAGGAAGTGGTTTACGCGGATTCAGACGGGAAGCACTCAATAAGCAGCCTGAGCCTCAATTTGTGCCTTTAGAAGACGACTATGATTTTCTTAAGGAGGGAAGAAAACAAACAGAAGAAAGGTTGCAAAAAGCACTTAGTAGGGTGAAGTCTATGGTTCAGTATCCTGAGGGACGAGCTCAGTACCGTAGGTTGCTGACTGTTGTTGAAGGTTTCCGTGAGACCAAGGTATATGTACTTTTTTTTTTTTTTTTTTTTTGGGAAGTATTTTTTTCTTTAATTAAAATTATAGATTATATACTTTGGTTGCTGTTGACTTATTGTCCGGCATCACAAACACATTATTATTTTTTTTTTAAATTCTGTGACGGGTCTTGGATTGCCTCTCATTTAGTTGCTAGCTCGTCTGTGGATCTCTTAGGCCGCATTGAATCTCACTTAACTATCTCAGCCACCTACAAGCTTAAACATTTAGGAGTATTAGAATCGAGGGTTATATTAAAAGACAAAAGATTTACATATTTTCGATGCATCTTATGTACAAAAAGGCAAAATAAATAAATAAATTCCAATACATTGTAATGCTAAATTTTTTGTTTTCTAGCGTCTTTAATGTGTGTTCTAAGAGCACATGTTAAGACAATCCTAAATTAAAACCTCGGAATCATGTACTTCCTTAGGATTTCAGTATCCATCGTAATTGTTCTTACCATATCGTTAATGAAATGTTATTGGATTTGATTATTGGCAGGTGTGTGACATGGATCTAAGTGGTTCGGAAGAAATAATTTATGATGATGAAGAACTAGTTGATATTGACTCACTTCTGAATGATGATACTTTCATGTCTATTGCATTTGAATGAATGGCTGAGCTTTGCTTCTGTTGCCTGTACATAAATGGACGGATAGTTTCAGCTTTATGAAGGTCCTAACTTCATTCTGTCTGTAAATATATTTATGTAATCAATATGCTTATTATAATAATTTTAGGTATTTTTTTTAAAGAAGACATGCGGAGACACATAAATGAACAATTAGTTACCCCATTATTTAATGCTTTGTATTTTGAAGGAATAGGCCATTTATTTTGTTGAAGGTTTTATACACTATTTTATGTAGGTTATATACAAATATTTTACTACTTACTGGCGTTTGGATGGGGTTAATATTAGATAACTAGGATAATGTTTTTTAAATTGAGCAGATGATCGACCGCCAATTTGGCGTATGATCGATTGTATTTTTTAATACCGGAGGTTGCCAAAAGTCGCCATAATGACGTATGATCGGCTGTGCGAATGGTTTTAAAACCCAGACCGGCCCGGTCGGTTTAATCAATTGGACTGAGACCTGGGGCCTTCTCCGAGTCACTCTTTTTAACTGTTTCAAATTTAAAATATAACAAACACACCCTTGATTAATATGCATCAGTCCCTGAAGGTTTCAAATCTAGCAAACACACCCTCTAGCCAAATGCAAATCGGCAATGATCTCCCCTTTTTCGATGACCTTCCACCTTTCCTTACTGTCGAAAACCACCTTTTGAAATTCTCTGACGCTGTCACGCTTCATCTCCGGTCGTCGTGTGATGTTTCGTCGTCCACCTTCGTCGCATGATTTTTCTTCCATTTCCCGGCGTCGATCAGCCTTCTCCGGCATCGATAGGCTTCCTCAGCCACCGATCTACCTTCTCCCAAGCTCTCTTGCCGTCGTTCACGAAGATCCAGTCATCTCACCAAAAAAAGCCACCGCGACCATTGACTTCCACCACCGATCTGTCATTTTCTGGCAATGCATCTACTTGCTAGTTGCTGATTCGCCCTCCCCATCATCCGATCTACCCTCCGTGGTGTGTCGCCGCTACTTTCCCAATCGATCGTCGACTTGCATTTGGCCAAGGTTGTGTTTGCTAGAATTCAAACCTATAGGGTCTGATGGTATTTATCAGGGGTGTTTTTGTTAGATTTTAAACCTGTCAAACCATTGGTTCAACCGGCGGTCCAACTAGTTGGACCAGTTGAACTCACTATTTCAAAAGTTGGACTGGACTGGCCTGGCTGGTCCAACCAGTTGGACTGTGAACTGGTCATGTGTCTGGTTCGAGTCAGCATAAAACCCGCCATTACGCAATAAACCGTTTTAACCCGCCATTGGACCACGTGAAAAGTTCTGGACCGTCGGTCCAACCGGCCTGCAAGAAAAATCGGCCCAATCTGAAAAATGAAAAAAAACCCTAATTTATCACTTTCTCCCTTTGCGCTGCGTTGTTTCTTCTTCCTCAGTTCCTCTATGCGCAAAAAACTCTGAAAAAAGTTGAATGAAATCGTGAAAATCTGAAATCCCACACCAATCAAAACTCAATCTTGCAGAAATTGCAACCATTCCTTGTTGAAATTGCACCTATTCGTTGCTGAAATCGATCGCAACTCCAGTCTCTGAAATCGCGACGACGTCTTTCTCCCTCGCCGGAAATCGATGACGACCGGACGAAAACAGCTCCATTCCTCCTCTTGTCAACGATCCAGGTAAAAAACACATTAGCCAATCTTATTTGGTTATTTTCATGACAACCATTTCAGTGGCATTGAGTTAAAAAAAAAGAATATTTAGGAAAGAAAGAACCAGAATCCATGACCCTATTATTATGATTGTGTCCATTTCTTTTTTGATTGATTTTATGGTTGGGTTGACGAGTTATGAGTTGTGATGATCCCACATTTTGTATATTGAAACGAGCCCCCTCCATAAAGCTTTGAGAATTTTGAAAAGCACTTGTTCAAAAAGAGAGGGAATTTTAGTACAAAGCATTGATGATACAAGCTGTTCAACCCCAGAATGTTCAACATTCATAGGGCTTTGTCCACCACCAACAATCCATGAAAATGATACAGGCTTTGGATGCTTATTTGGTTATTTTCAATGAAATGAAATGGATCAAAAAATCAATTATCTGCTCTTAAGGAGTTATTTTGTACTCATTATTGGGTATATGTGAGTTGTTTTGCTGTCAACACATGCATTCATAATCGCAAGGTTTAAATTCTATGTGGGTGTATATTTTATGTCCGCTAATTTATAAGTTGTCTGATCCAAATTAGTAGACATCTTTTGTTGGGTTAAGTAGAACTGAGTTTAGGTTTCACACTCTGTTGTACAACCCATTGTTTTTCATTATTGAGTCAAAAGTGCCATCTTGAATAGCTGAATACTTGTGGTTTCTTTGTTGGATACATAGGGTACATTGTGCATTTATCATATGCATTATATTATTTTTCTATGCATAAAAACAAAATCATTCAATTTAGAATTTTTGGGTATTAAGTATGATAATAGGATCTGTTGTTGGATGCCTCTAATATTCTGTAAGGATTTGATCACTTACAACCTTGGATTTGAATTTAGGCATTTGCTGTCATTGCTGCTTCACCACTTCACATAGATCTCTCATGTGTTTTGGAGCATGTAATCACAGAGTTGACGGCATTCCTGCGAAAGGTATGGAAGTTTGTTTATTTGCTGTTGAATTGAAGATATGTCTACAAAAGTACTGACTTCTCTCTTAACTTGGGNTATAGAGAAGTTACACTGCTATGGATTTGTATTTTGAACTCACACTTATTTCTATTCATGCTCTGTATATTTATACAACCCGAGAGGCCTAATTTTAGGCATTCAAAGATATATAACTGAAAAATAAATTTACAATCATAACTGAAAAATAAATTTACAATCACAATAAAAACAGTATTTACATAAAAAATAAAAAACTGATCCTAGAATCATGAGAGGCACAGCACAAAATCTGTTGATGTTAATGGTGGCAGCTGGGCTAGAGTTGTCACTGGTTTGGCGCTTGAGTTGTCACTGGTTTTTCTTCAATTGCCTTGATAATGGCCAAAATGTGGCTGTGAAATGACCACAAATTTGGCCATGAAATGGTCAGCGTTTCATAGCCGAAGACCTAGCCATTTCACGGCCAAATCTGTGGCCGTTTCACAGCCACATCTTTGGTCGTGAAACAGCTAGATATGTGGCATTGCCAACGGTGGTGGCTGGCTGCCGACAGTAGCTTGGGGTGGGTATGAGTATTTTTGTTAAGTTTAAAACGTTTTTGGTTGTTAGGGTGTTTTTACTAAATCTGCAAAGTAGAGGGTAAAAATAAATTATTCAAAAAATAATAATAAAAAAATACTGTTATATTAATATTTAAAAAGGAATTTAATAATCTATAATTCTATATAACATACTCACCTATTTATCTTTTCAATCAAACATATTATTCACCAATTTATTCCAACTAATCAAACATAATTTCTAAATATTTTCAATAATCTTTAAGGTGATCTTTTATTCCATTACTATAATATCCTTTATAATAAAATATTATATGATCCAAACGCTCTCACAATGTTTTCTGAGTCCAGGAAAGAAGTAAACACAATCAAGAAAATAAATTTAAAATAGGAGAAATAATAAAAATACATTGGAGGTGTTTTTACTATCTCCATAAATTCAATTCACAAAATCAAATTTTCAATGTCAATTTTTTATTAATTTTGTATGAGGTTTGATTTGATTTCTATAATAATTAGACATTATATATATTTTCACTATTTGAGTATTGGTCACTCTCAAAAAAGAAACAAGAAAAAAAGCACCACATTTAAAGTTCTATCCTAAAATTTCTATGTCGGGTTGTGTTTTATGTGATGTTATCATGTAAATGATTGACATGAACAAAATAGTGTAGGGATGGGCATCATACTTGCCCTCGCGGGACCAGCCTCGAACGAGGCAGAGTTTTTTTCGAATTATTCAGGGTTTGGGTCTGGACCCTCGACTTTGAGGATGGGCTGGGGACAAGATTGGTCTTCCCCTACCCTACCTTGGCCCGAATTCCCCGACCTGGCTTGTACAATATATATAAGTTTAATTTTAATCATTTAATCCTATATTAATTTTAATAGTTGAAAATCAATCAATGAAGTCATAAATTATGTAAGAACAAATTATAATTGTATAAATATTTTATGAAATCATATACAAATAGGTAATAAATAAAACTAGATGTAAATAGGTAAATAATATATACAGATTTGAATACATAAATTATTATAATATCTTATCTATTATCTATATATATATAAATATAGATATATATATATATTATATATATATATATATTATATATATATATATATATATATATATATTATATATATATATATATATATATATATAAGTGTTAAAGATATGATACAAAAGTTATACATATACATTATATATGTTTTATATGTATAATGTATATAACGATATATGTTATTACATATACATAATATCTATTATCTATAATCATGTTTAATATATATTGTTATATATGTTCAATGATATCATTTGATATTTTGATATATAATAAACAATAAACAATAAATCATATAACTTTTTTTTTTTTTTTTTTGTTCTCATTGAATCATTATTTAATTCCATTAACTAATTGCCCGTTATATTATGGTAACTATTTATTTAGAATTTATATAATATATATGGTAGTTATTTATCAGAATTATTATATATATAGTTAATGTATCATATGTAATACATTATGTTAATATTATGTATATTTAGAAAATTAATGAGAGTTATAAATATATGGTATAATTTATTAGAATTTATTATAATATATTATATATTATATATTGTATAAAACAAAAATTATAATTATACAATACATATCCTATTATCATAATCATTGTTTTAAAAACCGGACCGGAGGGCAACCCGCTCTGAGGCGGGTCCGGTTCAACCGGTCAACGATGGACCGTGCTCACACACATCATAATGACGTTAACACATTTTAAAAAAAAACAATTTTTAAATAGATATATTCATTTATTTATATAGATTTGGTTTTTTTTTTATAAAAAATAAATTCGAAAATAAAATAGAAATTTGAAATGATAACAATAAATGGTAGTGGTAGACAATGAAATTTAAGAGAATCAAAGCTAGCGACAAATCAGAACAATAAGAAGCCATGAACAACAACAATAAGAGTTCAATTCATCTACTA